CCAGCATCCAAGATCCTAGGATTTTAGAATGGGGTACAAAATCAACCTCTGGTCTCCTAGCTTAGCACTTAGGAAAGAACCCCCTCTAAGAAGTAGTTTGAGCTTGGGAGAGGCTCTTGGAGAGTAGTAGTTGAGGCTCTGGTTGGGTAGAGTCTCCCCTAGGAGACCTCATTAGAAGGCTACTAGTGTAGGAAGGCTTGTGAGGAGAAAAATCCCATTTCAAGATTGATTTCTTGGAGTGGGAAGTTGAGAATGAGCTTCTCAGCTCAGACCCCTTCCAATGATTCCTAGGAGCTACTGCACCTCCTCCAAGGATGTGAGCTAGCTTATGTGGCAAAAGGTTGGATTTCCAACCAACGAGAGGTTTACAACAATATATTCAGATTAACATTTGATGTACAACATAGGAATATTCAAGTTGAGTTGGCATTGACAACCAAATCCCTAATTCTGATTGGTCACAAATCCAACCATTGCGTGGGTTGGAATTTTCGCCAACTCAATCTGTACCACTAAAATCTGATTGGTCCCACGTATCGCCCAATCCCAATCCTCCCCTCCCAGCCCTTCCTTCCCATTTCGCGCTACCTAGCGTAGGTAGCCAATTTGTGGAAGGTAGTTGGAAAGGTTGTTTCTAGGCCCGCGTACTGTGCAGAGGCCATGCGTTACAGCCAGTCCCAGCACGACAGCACTGATAGACGGGAGGATTCAACACCTCCGAGGCATAGTATAGCCATCAGGGTTATCGTAGTACTGCTAATGCTGGTACCTCGCTACACATGGTGGAGTGCAGAGCATGGCATGGGCATCAAGACTCCTGTTATACTCACAATAGGCTCAGATGTGCCTAAAATGAGAGATAGATAGCACAGTTGGATTTCCGCCAGACGGCTTCAAATATTGATAACGATCTGATCCCTGAATCAAACGGTGATCTGTAAGTTGGATCTCGAGCGCGTTGCTGTCACCTATCAGCAGCAAGTTGATTCATGAAATTCCATGAAGATATGACGACGTTATGGCGACGCTATGGCGGTTTGACTGGTAGGAGGTATAGCAGCCACTATAGTCTTAGAAGTACAAACTTAGCAAGGAGAATCAAGATTGAGATGATTCTCAGCCTCTACAAGCCCCAAGAGCCGAGGTCCAGGTTGGTGGTACACCACCACAGAGTCCCCAACCACAGAGGGACTCGAAACAAACTCAACAAGGGGCTGGACCAAGTGAAATGTAACACTACATAAAGTAGCATTACTATATTCCCTTGGGCTTGAAATCTTGGATGTTTGTCTTGATTCTGCAAGATAAATTCTTCTTGAGTTGATGAGGGCTTGCTGCACACACCTGCGATACAATGGACACTTCACACTCGACAAAATAGAAAAAAACATGCGACACGCAAACGACGACTTGACATGCGAGTTGAAAACTCGCTAATGTCTTGACCGACACAAACCACATTGTGATACACCATTCAAACACACACACAAGCACTAGATAGTAATGACATAGACTCACAAGTCATTCCATGCCATGCATGCACACACACAAACAAGGACGACAAGCCGAGTGCAAGCCATAGGGTTGCACCAACAACTCCCAGGAAAGCAACAACCACGCAGGTCGTCGCGACAACGGCCAGAAGCCATGACCCGAATCCGCCGACTCAGAAACGACTAACACTGCTCGGACTCATGGTCGGACTCATTACGATGATCAAGCAGACGTCTCTAGGTACTAACCCTCAAATGTGGCATCCATTTTTTTTGTGAAGCGCGACGGGCTTTGCAAAACGAATGCTAATGCGAGCCAGGCCGGGGGTCTGTTAGGTTTTCCAAATCTTCCTAGAAAGTCTAGCTGCTAGGGGGCCTACACACTACCGAATAAGTAGACAGTTTGAGCCATCGGCAATTCATAGTGTGTCTCCAATCTTATACTCACGTTCTTGTGACCTGAGCTGAGTCTGAGCAGAGTTTGGCCTTGATGGCTTTGAGCGAACAAAGAAACAAAATGCCACCAAGAGAAAAGCGGAAGGAATGTCAAGAACCTTTCTTGCCGCTTGACCGCTAGATCATTCACCAAATCTCCAAGCTCGCTTGTCAAGCTCTTGAAGAATAAAAAAGCAATGCTGCCAGGTCATCAGCGGCTACTAAAGAATCAAACGAGTCGTTTTGAATCCCTCTCATCGCTGCCTCATCAATGTCAATCACCAATGTAGCCTCTGAATTCACCTCTCGCCGAACCAGCATGACAAGCCAGCGCGGGGCTAGTTGGGGCTGTGCTTGGTTAGGGCGCCTTGTTCTGGCAGGCTGCGCATTTTCAGTTTTGCTGGTTGCTAGCGTGTTGTTGAAGGGATTTTTTTCTTGAAGTGTAAGTGTACACAGCTTTGGAGGAAAAAAATGGGAATGCGCAAGAAGCTGTATGGGTAGCCAGCTAGCAACTCCAAATCGGGCAACAATGGGAACTTCACGGCCGCCATGGATCTTGTCAGCTCCTTTGTCCCGCCAAAATTTAGCCGATTTCTTACCAGATGCAACATTGACTAGTTGTGTAGTGGCAGACGAGCTGGAGATGTACTATTCTGTTGTACCCATTTATAAGGACTTCATTCACAACGGTGGCAAGGAGTGTGTACCATCAGGCCTATGGATGTACAGGGGCCTCCAAGGAGTGATCCAACGAGTACACGGACTGATCTTTCCATATGTGGGCTCAACGTTAATGGGCTCGGCAGTCGCGGGAAACAGGAGAAGTGTCATAGATGGCTCTAAAAGATAGCGGATGCAGTAGTACTGACGGATACGAGGATACACCAGGATCATAATTTCTTGATGCAACTGCGGCCAGCGGCAATGGCAGCGGTGGGTCCAAAACGGAAGGCAGGCGGCGCCGCAGCACTGTGCTGGAGGAAGGAGGTGGTTGTATCCGAGGTCACGGCTCACCTGTCTGGGAGGTTGGCGAGGGTCAAGCTGGAAAGGGGGGGTCGGAAGCTGACGTTAGTAGCGGGGTACTTCCTGCTCAGGCATGCAACAGAGGTGCCCTTTTCAGAGACACACTCAAACCATTTATAGACACCATCCCAGTTTCGGAGTCGCTGGTTCTGATAGGGGACTTCAACTTCATCGCGGATCCTGAGCTGGATAAGTCATTGAAGCTAGGTTCGTCGGGGGAGAATGACCGCCTGCTCGCAATCTGCAAGAGCTGGGATATGATGGCACGTTCCGCATGCTCCACCCATGTAGGAGGGGGTTCACTTCCTTTTCGCGCTCGTCCGCCACAAGTTCACGCATTGACCACACGTTAGTCTCCAGCTCACTGCTTGGGGGGGCGCAAGAGTTGAGACATGTAGCATTACCGTATGGCGTCTCCGATCACTGGTTCGCAGTCCGTTTAGTGCTGGGTACAGGTAGCAAGGTAGCATCAGGTCCGGGCCTCTGGAGGTTGCCGAGGGTGCACGCAAGAAGGAGAGGTGTAAGGGTGATAGTCGAAAAGGTTCTGCAGCTGGATGAAAGGGGAGAGGAGAGAGGCTTCGACACCACAGTGAGGAAGCTGTCGGCCGGTCTGAAGGCATACTCGAAGGAAGAGCGGAAGCGTGCTGCAGCAACGGAAAAGGCATTTAGAACAGAAGGTAGCGGCACTAAGGTTAGGGGTGATGGGGAGCCCCGGCTGGGGGAGACTACAAAAGGAGCTAGCAGCAGCGGAGCTGATGTACTCAAAGTATTTAGGAAGCAACAGGGAGCCGTTGCAGGTCATGGCTGGGATTCGAGCGGAGCTGCAGAGTGAGGTTCCCTAAGAAGGTACTCACGGCGGCGTCGTAGTATTTTGCCACGGTTTTTTGTGCAGCGGTTGAGGCGTCTGATCTGGAGAAATGGGAGCTGGATCCAAGCCTTCGGTTCAGCACACAAGAGGCGGAGTTACTGGGTGCAGAATGGAAAGAGGTGGAGGTTAAGAAATCCATCGCCAATCTGGTATCCGGGAAACTGCCTGGTCAGGATGGCTTGCCGAAGGAACTGTTTGAGTCAAAGTGGGACCTGCTGGGGGGGGAGGTGATGAGATTCGTTAAAGACTTTGAAGGTACAGCAACGTTTTTGGTGACGGTTAAGACAGCGGTGACGATCATCCTGCACAAGAAAGGACCGACAGACAGTTTACAGAATTACAGACCGATATTGTTACTGAACTCTATTTACAAGATCGTAGCGAAGGTGTTGGCGAACGGGTTGCAACCGATTCTGCACAAAGTAATTTCGGAAGGACAACATGGCTTTGTTCCGGGGAGGAGGTTAGCGGATGCAGTTGCGGTGGTAGCAGACATAATCAATGCGGTGAAGCAAGGGAACGAGGACTGGTTACTCCTATTGGTGAACTTTCAGAAGGCCTACGATTCTGTATCACGGGATTTCCTCTTCAGCAGCATGCGGAAGATGGGCTTCCCCGATCGGTTTGTCGGCTGGGTGGAAGGTCTACATGCAGAAGCCGCAACCAAGATCTGTTTGAATGGGACATTGGGAGAGGTGGTGGAGATGCGGAAAGGAGTGAGACAGGGGTGCCCGCTGGCACCTTACCTCTTTCTGTGCGTGGTTGAGTCGCTGTGTCAAGAGGTGCGGAGGCGGAAGCTGGGCATTAGCAAGAGAGTTGTGGGAAGGCTAGCGTACTTGGGGTATGCAGACTACACGACGCTGGTGCTTAGGGAAGAGAGCAGTTGGAGGAAGCAAGAAAGTTGTTGGAGTATGCGTGTAGCTCGGGCCTGCGGACGAATTCTCCCGCATCGTCTCTCTCTCTCCCGCATTTTCCCTCTCTTCTGCATTGTCCCTCTCTCCGCATCGTCCCTCTCTCTCTCTCGCATCGTCCCTCTCTCTTCCACATTGTCCCTCTCTCTTCTGCATCGTCCCTCTCTCTTCCACATTGTCCCTCTCTCTTCCACATTGTCCCTCTCTCTTCTGCATCGTCCCTCTCGCTACCGCGTCGTCCCTCTCTCTCCAGCATCGTCCTTCTCTTCCGCGTCGGCCCTCCCAGTTCTGCGTCATCGTCTCTCTCTCTCTCTCTCTCTCTCTCTCTCTCTCTCTCTCTCTCTCTCTCTCTCTCTCTCTCTCTCTCTGCTCTCACTCTCTCTCACTCTCTCTCTCTCTCTCTCTCTCTCTCTCTCTCTCTCTCTCTCTCTCTCTCTCTCTCTCTCTCTCTCTCTCTCTCTCTCTCTCTCTCTCTCTCTCTCTTGATTCCTCATCGCCCCTCTCTCATCCTCGTTATCCCTCTCTCTTCGTCGTTGTCACTCTCGTCGTGTCTCTCTTCATCGCCATCCCCTCTTGCTCTCTCTGTCGCCACCACGCTCTCCCATGGTTTATCGCTCCCTGTTCTTCCTAGGGGCCCAGTTTGCTGGGGCCATGTTCCCTGCTAGTTCCAGCCAAGGATTTTTTGCCGCAACTGGGGCCTCAGGTTGGGTTTAGGTTCGCACAACCGAATTGAGGTTCGTTTTGAGGGAACCAGCCAGCGAGGTATGATCGAACCAGAAGACCTCGTTCGGGCGCAAGTGCAACAGTTCCGTTCCCTCGTTGTGCTCACGTAATCCCACTTAGCAGTAATTTTACGTCTTTCTTAGGGAAACCTGATCCCCTCGTCAACCCGCGTCAGGGGGTGGTCTACAAACCCCACAAGCTCGGAACAGCCAATGGGCAAGCAAAGTCGAGGTGTTAAAAGTGTTCCCTCCTCGTTTTGGAATACCTCAAATCCGTTGTGTCAGTTTCCTCGTCAGTGTGTGGGAACTGCTCGTGGCCCTTTTGCGCTACTGTTTCTCGTTGACATAACAATGTCAACAGTCACGTGGCAAGTTTGTCGTGATTTACCCTAGGTTCGTTTTCTGTCAGCTACAATGACTTCTGCTTCGACTGTATGTCCCTTCCTTGTTCCGAGGGACAGCTGGGCTGGCGAACTGGGCCAGGGAAAACCCCTTCCGTGTTTGAATATGTGAGGGCTTGGGCCCTGCTGACTAACTCAATCAACGTGGGCTGCACTGCAAGTTCCATCCTCTCATGCGACAGTGGGGTTCTGCGTGATCAGACTGAAACTGTTGCACACGCAAACATGTACAGTAGCTTTTATCGCATCACCCCAATTTTGCTTCAAAAACTGCTCGCCAAAATTGTGGCACGGATCCATGTGCCCGTAAAAAGACCCCCGTTTCTCTGAGTAATTGAAAGTCATATTTCTACTCAAGCTGTGCCCAACTTGAAAGTGGGTTTGCTACCGTATTTTAGCCTGGGGCATATATGACAATGGCACTTTGGTGTTGTGCTGGCTGGCTCGTCACAAGAAACACGCCATGCTGAGTTGAAGCAAGTGGTGTCACACTTCCTGGAAAGACAATTGCGAGGTTGACGACACCTTCCTGTTATGAAGAAACTTGGCACTTTTCTGGGCAAATATGATAACAATCATGGCAAAATGGGAGACCTAACCACCAGGCGCACTGGCACACTGTGCCCATATTCATCCGTCCATAAGATTGTTCCGAACCTAAACGCCGCCAATGGCAAGAACCTAATGATTGTTACCTTAAACACCCTGGATTTTCCGGGCAGAATGGTAAACTTCGTTGGCCAAACTTTTACCGAAAACCCAGGAGGGGATTCGACCTTCGCACTGTAAGTCGACGGTTTATGGTACACATTTGTTACGCGCCGGTACACTATCGCCAAGCCATGTAACCGGGTTACCGCAATCGAGGGGCGATTGAGGCTCCAAGGGAAAATCGGATGTGCTTTCCCCATCTGCCAAAATCGCTTCTTCACCCTTATCGGGTCCCTCCCCATGAGAAAGTTAACATAGTCGGCATGTGCAGCGTGAAACGTGAGCCCGGGGTCCAACACGCGCGTGGAGTCCACGTGCCCACCTCCATAGTCCCAAGCGTTGGCCTTTTTACCATTTGCCCGTTGAATCGGTTGCCCGTTCTCATTCGGTGTATACGCCGTTGTGGTGATGGCGGACATCACCTGCGCGGGCGACCAGCTCGGCTTCTTCTGCACGATCAGCGCCATGATCCCCGCCAAGTGCGGTGTCGCCATAGACGTTCCCGACCAGTAGTTGAAATTAGGAGGGTCGGTCGCAGCAGTGTCAACCGATTTGCCCGGTGCCGCGGCCCATAGTTGGAACCCCGGGCCCATGACGTCGGGTTTAAGGATGTCATTAGTGGGTAAGTCGCGCCACAGGAGGGAGGGCCAGTAGAAGGGGCTGCGAGGGGGCCCGGTGGAAGAGAAGTAGGCCAACTGAGGCGCATTGGTGGAGTAAGAGACAGTGTAGGGGGACAGCGTGGCTGTGGGGCTGGGGGAGGAAGGGGAGGAAGCGGGGGCGGGAAGTGTGGTGGGGGGGGGGGGGAGGAGGAAGGAAAAAGGGGAGAGAAAAAAAGTGTGAGCAAGGGAGGAGAAGTAGACGACCTGGAAGGCATAGGTGGAGTGGGATGGATTGGAGGAGTGGGGTGGAGTGGGATGCAGTGGGATGGAGTGAGGTGAGATGAATTGGAGGCGGATAGTGCGGCTGTGGGGTTGTGGGGGGAGGGGGCGGGGGGGGGGAGGTGGGATGGGAGGATGGCGGATAGAGAAGCCATGGTGCCGCACCTTACCTGTTTAGCAGCGCGAGTATTATGGCAATCCACTCTAGCCTAATACTCATGCTGCTATAAGATTGGCACCATTGGCTACGTAAAAAAAAATGTAGCGATAGCATTAGTGGGTTTCGTCAGAGAAATAGTTTCTTTACTCCGAGTGATTGTGAAGGAAGAAAGAGCTTATGGGGCTCCTTCTTCTGTTAGAGTCACTTCAGTTGTAATCCCCTTCCCCTCTGTAGCCAAAGGAGTGGTGCACCACAAGGGGCTAATGCCCGCGTGACATGGTTAAATTTCCAACCAGACATGGTGTAATGCGAGTGTACTGAGATGAGAGTTCAGGGCACTGGGTTGAAGGGAGGAGGATGAGTTGGGAAAGATCGAAAAAGGAAGGGGAAGGGCAGGAGGGAGTTAGGGTCTTACCTGCTTTGAGCGCTGATGTAGCTCTTGATGGTCTTTCCAGCCGCGTATGGGATGAAGATGCTGGGGGTCTTGGTGAATGGTACGCGGTGCTGCTTATCGTACTTGGGCTTCCCGCTTATAACGAGTATAGCAGCAGCGCCCAGCGTGTCTGCGTGCGCAAGCAGGTGGAGCAGCCTGTCCTTCAAAAGGGTGCACACGATGAACTTGCCCGCGACTAGAGTCCCTTCGATGTCTTCAACGTAGCACTCCTTGGCCTGGTGGAGGGGAAGTAGGAAAGAGCCGGCGAGGAGGCATGTGACATGGGAGGAGGAATGTGACATGGGAGGAGGCATGTGACATGGGAGGAGGAATGTGACATGGGAGGAGGCATGTGACATGGGAGGAGGCATGTGACATGGGAGGAGGCATGTGACATGGGAGGAGGAATGTGACATGGGAGGAGGCATGTGACATGGGAGGAGGCATGTGACATGGGAGGAGGCATGTGGCATGGGAGGAGGCATGTGGCATGGGAGGAGGCATGTGGCACGGGAGGAGGCATGTGGCATGGGAGGAGGCATGTGGCATGGGAGGAGGCATGTGGCATGGGAGGAGGCATGTGGCATGGAAGGAGGCATGTGGCACGGGAGGAGGCATGTCATGGGAGGAGGCATGTGGCCTGGGAGGAGGCATGTGACATGGGAGGAGGCATGTGACACGGGAGGAGGCATGTAACATGGGAGGAGGCATGTGGCGCGGGAGGAGGCATGGCATGGGAGGAGGCGGCATGTGGCATGTGAGGAGGCATGTGACATGGGAGGAGGCATGTAACATGGGAGGAGGCATGTGGCACAGGAGGAGGCATGGCATGGGAGGGGGCATGTGGCATGGGAGGAGGCATGTGGCATGGGAGGAGGCATGTGACATGGGAGGAGAGGAGGCATATGACACAGGAGGAGGCATGTGACATGGGAGGAGGCATGTGACATGGGAGGAGGCATGTGACATGGGAGGAGGCATGTGAGGAGGGAAGGGAAGGGCAGGGGCAAGGAAGGAGGCACGTGAGGAGGGAAGGGAAGGGCAGGGGCAAGGAAGGAGGCACGTGAGGAGGGAAGGGAAGGGCAGGGCCAAGGAAGGAGGCACGTGAGGAGGGAAGGGAAGGGCAGGGGCAAGGAAGGAGGCACGTGAGGAGGGAAGGGAAGGGCAGGGGCAAGGAAGGAGGCACGTGAGGAGGGAAGGGAAGGGCAGGGGCACGGAAGGAGGCACGTGAGGAGGGAAGGGAAGGGCAGGGGCAAGGAAGGAGGCACGTGAGGAGGGAAGGGAAGGGCAGGGGCCAGGAAGGAGGCACGTGAGGAGGGAAGGGAAGGGCAGGGGCCAGGAAGGAGGCATGTCAGGAGGGAAGGGAAGGGCAGGGGCAAGGGAGGAGGCATGTCAGGAGGGAAGGGAAGGGCAGGGGCAAGGGAGGAGGCATGCCAGGAGGGAAAAGGCCAGCGCTTGAGTTGACTCAGAAGACTGCACTCGAGGATGGTGCCCCACTGCCGCTGCCACCTTGGATTTCGCCCATGTGACCACAGGAGGGAAGCAAGTGGCTGTGTAGAAGTGAGTCAAGATCTCACACCTGGAATGATGTCCATGTCGACTCGAAAGCTCGCAGCTTGAGTCTTGCCTTAACTTGCTTGCCGGAGCTTGCTTGGCCCGCAAGGAAAAGGGTGTCCCGTTGGGATTTTGAGGCGGACTTGGCAAGCAAAAAAGGGGACACTTTGACCAGGTAACGTTTGAGTCGACTCAAAAGTAACCCCGACACCTCTGGCGCCACCTAGCCTATTGGTGCCGCCAATAGACTAGGCTAGGGGTTGAATGAATCAGCTCGAATCTCTCTAGCGCTCGCTTTGCCATCACTCCCTAGAGCCTACCGAGCGTGTATTCCCTACCCTACTACAACAGACAACACGGATTCAGCCAGCACCAAGGGGAGAGTGAAGGGATTTTCTGTTCAATCCTCTTGCCAAGGGTTATTTGACTCCAGAGAGGCTTCCTAGAGGCTAGAGCTTACCAAGAGAGGATCCCCTACTGCAGACACCACGGATTCAGCCATGATGAATGGGAGAGGTGACGCCGTGTCAGAGTTGCCGCCCAGACTGCGACCCGTGAAGGTGGCTCCATTGCCGAGGGTTAGTGTTGCCTTGTATTCGCGCCCAATGGTGCTGCCATGGGGGGGGGAAGGCGAAAGGAGTGTACTGGTTACATCCTAAGAAGGTGGCTCCATTGCGGAGGGTTAGTGCAGCCGCGTATTTCCGCCCCATGGTGCTGCAATGAGGAGGTGGGGCGGGTGAGGGGAGAGGGTGAAGAGAGAGTCCACATGCTGCTTGGTTCCTGCTGTTTTTTTAGTCGACTCAAAAGTGGGGCGGGTGAGGGGAGGGAGAGGGTGAAGAGAGAATCCACATGCTGCTTGCTTCCTGCTGTTTTCCCATGGGTGCCCCACATGCTTCCGCTGGGTTTGAGCTGGCACTTCATGCCTGCTATACTCGCATTCGTTATAATCACACACCTAAGGGAGAGCCGTTTCCAAGGGTGCCCCACATCCTGCTGGGGTTGGGTCAATCCATGACCACTATAGTCCCACTCATTACAATCACTCTCACTACATCACTCTCTAGCCATACCTGGCTCCCACGGTGAGGTAGAAGGGAGAGACGTTTGCAAGCGTGCCCCACATGCTCATGGGGTGGGGTCGACCGCCGTTGCCTGCTGCAAAGGCTGTCACCACTCCGGCCTGGGAGAGAGTCAGACGGTGAGGATGGGAGAATGGGAAAGGGTGCAAATGGGAGGCATGGTACAGGTGGGAACGGGAGGCATGGTCAGGGTGAGGGTGATAGAGGCACTATGAGGGAGAGTTGGCTTGAGATTACAAGGCAGCACGCACCTTCAAGCCTGGTAAGAAGGACATATACTGGACCTACAAAGGGAAAACGCACCTTCAAGCCATGCAAGTAGAGTAGGCCTTGGAAGTACATGGCAAGGTCCCCCCACAAGCACGGTTTGACATTGAGTGCACAAGGCAGCACGCACCTTCAAGCCGCACAGGTATGGCAGATCTTGTAAGCACATGGCCAGCCCCCCCCACGAGCGCGAGAGGGCACGGGGGCGAGTTGGCTTGAGATTGCAAGGCAAGGCAGCACACACCTTCAAGCCTCGCAGGTACGGCAGATCTTGGAAGTACAAGGCAAGGCCCCCCCACGAGCACGAGATCACATCCACGCCATCAGCCACCGCCTTCTCAGCCGCAGCTATGAGGTCGGAAGACACCCCCACCCCCTCATTCCCCCCGATGATCCACAGCGCCTTGTACACTGCCAGCCTGGCGCGCGGCGCCATGCCCGATGCTGTGCCGTAGGTGCGGCCTCCCACAGTGACTGTGACCCCTGCATTGCCCGCAGCGGCTCTGATTGGTGGGAGGGAGGAAGAGAGGGAGGGGTGGGGGTAGATGTGAGCCCATGGCACACACGCCATGCTTAGTATTCGGCCCTGAGCTCCACCCAAACTCCCTCTCCGCGCCCAACTCCACCTCACAAAGAACCTCTTGCAATTTTCTTCCTCGATGCCATCTACTATCATCGCACTCACCCCGCGCACCACGTGCCGTGTTGCACTTTGTCCCGTGGCGACCGGTAATCATCCTGGGTCTCATCCAAGTCGCCAAACTGCCCCTCGGCGCCCTTCAAGAAGTACCTCGCTCCGATCACCTTGCCGTTGCACGCAGGGTAGTCAGCTGTCGTGGTGCACTCGCCCCTCCAGCGGGCCGGGACACTGGAGTATGCCGCACCGTTTAGGTCCTGGGGGGGTGCAAGGACACACAGAAATGGGGGCGTTAATGAGGAGCGGAACGGTAGTCAGCTGCCGTGCGCACGCCCCTCCAGCGGGCCGCTCCGTTTGGGTCCTGGAGCGGTGAGAGGATGCGGATAGAAAGGGAGCGCAAAAGCGGAGAGACGGGGGCCGCAAAGAGGAGAGGAGGGGGGGGCAATGAGGAGAGGAGGGGGGGGGAGAGGGGAAGAGGGGTAATCTGATGTTCGGGTGCACTTGCCCCTCCATACGTGGTGGGACACAGGATTTATCCCTCAACCACCCCGATGATCGCACCCTCCCCTGGCGATGCTCTGCGAAGGAGGGGGGGTGCTCTGCGATAAACCCATCCATTCCAAACTCACAGGGTCGGAGAAGGACGCGTGTTCCGGCCAGATGCCCATGTCAATCACCCCGATGATCCCTCCCCTCTCCCCCCCCCCCCCCCGCCCTTGCTCCGTGCAACAATCATACCTTGACCATCTACACCCATCTAAAAGGGCTTACAGGGTCGGAGAAGGAGGGGTGTTCGGGCCAGATGCCCGAGTCAATCACCCCGATAATCACCCCCTCCCCAGCACTGCTCTGCGAAGAAGGGGAGGTGTTATGAGTTGCATCCATTCCAAACTGATGGTGTCGGAGAAGAAAAGGTGTTCCAGCCAGATGCCTGAAACAATCACCTCGATGATCACACCCTCCCCAGTGGTGCCCCGCCCAACGATCATACCTTTGCCACTCCACCACAATCCATCTAAAAGGGCTTACAGGGTCGGAGAAGGAGGGGTGTTCGGGCCAGATGCCCGAGTCAATCACCCCGATGATCACGCCCTCCCCAGCGCTTCTCTGCCCCCCGTTCGCAGGCCACAGGCTCGAGTCGAGCTTGAGAAATTCAGGCGAGTGCACCATGTTCACCCGCACTGTCCTCTCTCTCTCCACGTCCGCCACTGCCGGGTGCCGCTTCAGTCGCCTCGCCTCAGCAGGGGTGAGCTGCGCTGCAAAGCCGTTGAGCAGGTAGGTGTAGCTGCGGGGCGACAGGGGGGTCGGGGCCGGGCAGGAGGCAGGGGGAAAGGGAAGTAAGTGGAAGGGGGCGGGCAGGGGGCAGGGGAAAGGGGAGAAAGCGGTAGGGGGCGGGCAGGGGGCAGGAGAAAGGGGGTGAATGGAAAGCAGCCACAGGATCAGCCGAGCCTGACGAACTCATGTGAGTTCAGATTCTCGCCTCAGGAGGGGTAAGGTTAGAGCCCAAGCATGTTGTGAGAGAGCACCAAGACACCCCCTTCCACCTCTGAACCCCCCACCTGTAAACCCTCAACTCTAAACCCCTCCACCCCTGAACTCCCCATCTGTAAACCCTTACCTCTAAACCCCTCAAATCTAAACCCCTCACCTCTAAACCCCTTCCACCGCTGATCCTCCCACCTGTGAAACCTCTGAAACCCTTCCACCTCTGACTCACCCACCTCTGACTCACCCACCTCTGACTCACCCACCTCTGACTCACCCACCTCTAAACCCCTTCCACCGCTGATCCTCCCACCTGTGAAACCTCTGAAACCCTTCCACCTCTGACTCACCCACCTCTGACTCACCCACCTCTGACTCACCCACCTCTGACTCACCCACCTCTGACTCACCCACCTCTGACTCACCCACCTCTGACTCACCCACCTCTGACTCACCCACCTCTGACTCACCCACCTCTGACTCACCCACCTGTGGAAAATGGCTGAGGCTGGGATCCCCAGAGACCGCAGCAGGCTGCGGTGGGAAGATTCCAGGAAGAGAGTGAAGGCCTGCACGTGTGGTAACCGCACATCAGGTCGCATGAGCCGGCCCCAGGGTGTGGTGCGCATGATGCGAGCCGCTCGCGCACTCAGCTGCTGGACTGTCGCGTGCTGCGCTGTCAGCACCGGGGATGTCAACGCGGATGACGTGGCTCGGGTTGTCAATGCAGGGTAAAAAGCACTGGAGGAGGAGTTTTGGGATGGATCTATGATGGAACCCACACCAGCAGCAGCTGCTCCTGCTGCTTCCTCTGCTGCAGCAGCCACTGCAGCAGCAGCAACGCGGGCCAGCAGGCGCGGCCCCACGCCAGCAGAGCTCGATCTGAGCTTGCCCAGGCGACGCCTCACCCTCCCCACCAGCGCATCCAACCCACCTCTTCCAAACGGCAGTGCGCTCATCCTCACTCCCCCTCCTCCGCCCCCTCCTCCTCCTCCCCCCCACGCTGCTGCTGTTGCTGCTACCCGTGCCAGCCCTTCCACCCCCGCTGCTGCTCCTCCTGCTCCTCTCACCAGTCCTCCTATCTCCATTGCCGATTCTGCAGCAACCGCAGCGGCGGACTGAATAACGGCATCGAAGGCATCCTCGTCTGGTTCTGGCCCTGAACCCGACAACAGATTCCTTTCTAATTCTGCAGCTGCCACTGTTGCTGCTGTCCCTGCTGTTGCTGCTGTCCCTGCTGTTGCTGCTGCTGCTGCTGCTGCTTCTGATCCTGGTGCTGCTGGTGCTGATCCTGGTGCTGCTGGTGCCGATCCTGGTGCAGTGCCATTGCCACCATTGCCATCGCCACCACCATTCCCACCCCCACCAGCATCGCCCTCCGCCCCATCACCCGCCCCATCATCCGCCCCGTCATCCTCATCATACTCGTCCTCGCTATCGTCTACAGTCGCTGTGCCCCGCAGCCCGTTGACTCCCCCCCGGTACGACAGCACTGAAGGCACGGACGCCAGATGCACGATGTACTGCCTCGCGTTGGGCCGCCGTGCTGCTGCTAGGGGAAAAGGACAGGAGGGAAGCGGAGAAGGGAGTTAGAGGCCCTCAGGCCGTCACTGACTCCCCCCAATGCACGACGCACTCCCTTGTGTTGGACCTTCGTGCTGAAGAGGGGAGAGGAGAGGGGGGGGGGGGCGGGGGGGGGATGGTTGTTTGGGGGGGCCGGGGGGTTGGGGGTTCAGTTCAGACCTGGGGAAGGACTGAAAAAAGGGGAGACTGAGTAGAGAGAGGGGAGCAGAGGCTGAGACCCCCTGAGGTCAGTGAGTTAGCCAGCCCCTATGATGACCCAGTGAGGGGGTCAGTGAGTTTTCCAGCCCTCTTCTCCGGCACGACTGACGGGCAGGCAACGCCTACTAGGAGTACCATCATGGCTGTCGTACCACTAGAGGTACGTGGTGGTTCACATCACTGCAGGCACGGCACGGGCATCATGACCCCCAGTAAAGCAAGGTGGAAAGTATGTTTATTTTGAGACGCCTCAAAATAAACCTACTTACAGTAATACCTGGTTGGGCATGGTGGACTGCAGAGCACGGCACGGGCATCACGATTCCCAGTAATGCAACGATCACGGCCGCCGTCGCGGCGACGGCCAGAAGCCATGCGAATCCACCGAATCGGAAACGACTAAAAGCGCTCGAATTCATGATAATGACGGCCAATCGCCTGCCACGTGGCGGACGTATCTAGGTACTACCTAGAAGCCGAGCTGGTAGACTCTCCAAATACGGCGGATCTAGACCTTTCGTGAAAGCTGCGCGACGGGCTTTCACGAAACGCATGTTACTACGAGCCGACCTGGACGTATCTTTCTTGGCATCAGCCCGGTGGTCTGTCTAGGTTTATCGAGAAGCTTCCGAGAAGTAGACGAATGTAGCTCTGCCGCTACACACTACCGCATAAATAGACAGTTCGGGCCTTCAGGGAATGGTATACGCCTCCGAGACGAAAAACTAAGACATTTCGGAGTCCACCTTTATACTCACATATTTGCGAGCAGAGTCTGGGCGGAATTTGGGCATTCAGGCGGAATTTGGGCCTTCAGGCATGGAATTACCGAGTCGGTATCTGCGAGCGACAACAAGAAACCAAAGCAGGAGAGGAAGCGAATGAGATCCCAAGATCAAGAATCTCTCTTGCCGCCGGACCGCTAAGGCTTGCTTCTCAAGCTCGTCAAGGATCAACAGTAACCTGACAACTAAAAATTCCAAGAATCAAACGAGTCGTCTGAATCCGCCTCTCGTCATCCCTGCGTATGTGTCAGTCATCTATGTCCTGAACTAGCCTCAGCATTTCTCTATGGTCCGGAGCTAGCCGAACCAGCAGGGCAAGCCAGTGGGGCGCTGGTTCGGGCTGTGCTTGGTTAGGCAGCCTGGTTCGGGCAGGACTGCGCATTTCTAACAAATGTGTCCTGTCATTGGTTTCTTGTGTCGTTGGGGCAGTGCACGACGCTCCATGAGTCCAAAAGCTTCCCCCGCGACGCGACACCCCATCTGTTCCATGTGTGTAGTGTAGAGGAGGAAAGAAACTCCTCAAATTCTGTACCCGGCAAAATCAACCCGTCCACCAACAAACCCAACAATCCCAATACAGTAAAGAATTATCATTTCTTCCGCCAACTGCCCACCGATTTTGACGTTCGTGGTCAGGTTCGTCAATAATGCGGCAATCCCAAGCGTTTAGCCCCATTGAACCGCACATCTGTACTCAAAAGTTTGACGAGACCAGCTAGAACCGCTTTGAAGTTCGGGATCGGGTGCACGGCTCGTCACCAGATTCACAACCAGATACGCACACCCAATCCCGAATCTTTTCGGCGGTTCTGGTTTGAGAAATGATTTCAGTAATGTTGTGGAACGCAACATAATTGCTGAAACCTTCCCGCGATCCTCAAAAGTGGTTAATTGTACCGCACTCTGAAGTTTCGCTGCTGACCTGGAACGTTTCTCAAGGTTCGGAGCCAAGGCGGGGCCACACCTTCCCAAAGTCATTCACCCATATATCCCCGATTTTGTTGGAAGCTCGTTTCTGTAACAAGAGTTTCAATTCGCGGAACCAGGAAAACGATCCACAAAAGCAGGAAAGGCACTAGTACACAAGGCAAAAGTTGATGTGAGAGAAAGCACATGCACACTGTACAACGTATTTATCTCCGGATCTCTCAAAATGCTCACACCACTCGCGTCTCGTTTAGTATGAGAAGGAACAGACTGACAATGTGAAACCCATCTCTTGCCCATGATGATCCCTACTCCCTCTGCCTGTCAGCTGCATCAGCATCGGCTCGCCTCTCCCAGGCCACCCACAGCAGGCGGGGCACCGACCAAAGCCTCATGATTGCCTCATGGTTGCTCACGCGGTCATAACAAAGGTAACCTCTTGTCATAAGAAATGGTACCTTCGCCATCCTGATGAATATTCCAGTGGAGAACATACATTCCTTTGTCCCAAACCTAGGGTGAAAGGTTCTCTTCCATCCCCCCTACTCCCTCCTTCTCTGCCTGTCAGCTGCATCAGCCTCGGCCCGCCTCTCCCGCGCCACCCACAGCAGGCGGGGCGCCGACCGAAGCCATGTGATTCCCTCCTCGTGGTCGCTCACACGGTCGTTGATCATGCTACGGCCAATCAGGAAGCGGTTGCAGTCCAGAGACAGCTCCCCTGCTGCCACGTCATCAGCTGAGGGCTGCGGTGATGCTGCGACTCTTTCTATGTCTTGCTCGTCGACGAGCTGCTCTACACCATCCATGAGCTTATCTGGTTGTGGGTTCTTCTGTAAAGGGGATCAGGGGGGCACAGGGGGAAGTGGAGGAGAGACTGGAGAGGTTGAAAATACGGTGGGCAGCATGGGCAGGAATGAGGAAGCGGGGATGGAGCGATGTGGGGATATTGCATGGCTGAAAAAGAGCCGAACTGGATCTCCAACAAGCAGAACTGGGGAGTGACTTCGGGACAGAAGCAGTGTGTCTGATATGCATACAGCACTCTGAAGGCACTTATGGCACTGATGCACACCGTGCAACATAGGTGGGATTCTCACAGATGGCTTCCGTAAACACCAGCAATAAAATCAACAACAGCAGTGAAAACCACGTCAGACAAACAACAATAGCAACAACAGTAAACGACTGACACACGTACTCTCTTCCGCCTGGCATGAGCCGCAACCACTCGTCTACTCCCCGAAACCGGCTGCCATGCTTGCACCCGACTCCCCTCGAAACCTGGCTGCGCCGGACCAGCGCGTGGGGAAACCAGCGGCTGGCTACTGGCGCATTGTCGGCTGGGTTGAGCAGAACAGAGCGCAGCAGCAGGCAGTCGGGTGGAGAAGCCGAAGGTCGCTGCGCAGGGAGCTGGATGCAGCGCAAGCACGCTGGTCGTGCAAGCAACCATGGTGGACGTGCAGGGAAGGATGCTGAGCGTGATGTATTTGCTGCGGGCTAGCACTAGGCACAAGTGGGACGAGTTACTGTTAGATGCCCTTGGGCCTGGGGCCTGTAGACGCAGAGGAGCAGTGGAAGAAAGGAGCCTATTTTGAAGTGCCCCGAAAATGGAAACCAGGCCGCAAATGGGGCGAATTGCTATTGCATGCCCTTGGGCCTGCAGAGGCAGAGAAGCAGTGGAAGAGAGGCGGTAGAAAGAAACAATGGCGGATTCGCCAACAGTGACTGTGACTGCGAGGGAGGGTGGTGAGGAGGACAGAGGAGTTCACCGGAAGAAATAGGTGGATGCTGAGCTCTAGGGATGGGATAGTGGAGGTAGGGAAGAAACAGTGGAGGCATAGAAGTCCCAAAGGGGAGGGGAAGGGGAAAGGGGGCCGGGGGGGGGGGGGGGGGGGGGGGGGGGTTTGTGGGCGGAGGGGGGGGGGAGGGGAAGTGGGGGAGAGGGGTCGGGGAGGGGGGTTTGAGGAGGGAGAGCGGGCTTGTGGGGTTTCTGGGGCCCAGGCCAGGAGCAGAGCAGCAAACGCAGCTGGAATGGGGGGCGAACGGAAGACATTGATAGCAGGAGCAATGGCGGCAACGCATGGAGTGAAAGGCAGAGAAGAGCCGAGATAGTGAAACCCCACAAGAACCAAGATGTGACTTGCAGGCATGGTATGGGAGCGAGGACCACGCCACTGGAACCCCCTTGCTAACGAAGACGCTGTTGAACCTTAATGAACTTAATTCCCTTTTTTTTCTCTCATAAAACACGCCGTCAAACCCCTTTCTCATACATGAAAGGAGCTTGCCTTCTGGTCTGGTCACGTACGAACGCCCTTGCCCAGAATAGAAGGCTCGGCTCACCTTCAACAGGACCGCAGAAACCCTAAGGTAACCTTCAATAACGCGTATAACAACCGCAGGCGAGAACTACGATAACGCGAGCGGAACCGCTCTCCACCACAGCTGCGAACGCTCGAAATACCAAGAGGCGCGAGGATTGCAGATAATCGCAAATTGCAGATAATATCTCGCCTGATGTTTCAAATAAATTGCAGTTCTCGTCAACCTAGGCTCTATGAGGATTCTTGGAACCCTAGATCCCACGAGTGCTTCACATCTGACAGGCAAGCTGCTGTGGGGCTGTGCGAAATGCAGGGGTAGGCAGTAGGGAGTATCGAAGGCGTGTATACATAGGTTTCCGAAATGCGTGTACATGCGTGTATACATGGGAGTCTCCGAAATCTTAGTAACTAACAAAATTTTCGTTAATGCCCTGCCTTGTTTTCGTTGGGCCATATTGAACATTTTCCCCTGGGTGTGCTTTCGCAAGCCTGAGCCGTAACGGCGCAGGGCACCACTTTTTTTTGTTTTGTCGCAACCTTACTCCCTTGATCGGGGTGGACGGGTCGCACGCGAAAAAAACCATACTTAGGGATCGGCCCCAAACGACTTTTGAGCGCGCCCGTGAAATCAGAAGCCCTAAGCCGCTTTTCAGGCTCACCACATTCTAGAAGGTTCCAACAAAACACCACGCTGTAGAGTAGACCACACGAAGTCTCGGGATGGCGCCGCCAGGAGGCGCGATTCGCGGCGGTGCTTCGTCGCGAGGAAAGCGACGCGAGTATAAAGCAGTCATGAAGGTGAATGCGGTTGAGATGGGTTCAGTGGCAGTCATGAAGGTGAATGATGTTGAGATGATGGTTAACGTTCACAGCAGGATGTAGTTCAGGTTGATGGGATGAGCAAACACAAAGCAGCCATGAGGGTGAGCGATGTTCGGATGGTGGTAATGGGATATAGCTCAGCAGGATATAGCTCAGGTTGATGGGATCAGAAAAGCAAACACAAGGCAGTCATGAAGGTGAATGCCTGATGGTGGTTGTTCACAGCCGCACATAGCTGAGGTGGGGGGGATCAGCTAACGAGGTGACTTTTGAGTCGACTCAAATGCCTGATGGTGGTTGTTCACAGCCGCACATAGCTCAGGTGGGGGGGATCAGCTAACACAAAGCAGCCATGAAGGTGATTCGTACGAAGCCGCAGTAAGTCTAATTCCAGACAACTTTTCCTTCTCTTCACAATTGTAATCCCTCCTTCCTCCCTCCCCCCCCCCCGGGCAACATCCCCCCATTCACAGGTCAGTGAAGGGCGCAAGCCGGTGTTCGGTGGCTGCTTCAACACCATCGACCCTCGCTACCTTGACATGTTCGCCAGTGTGTCAGGCAACAGGGTATGTAGATTCGACCAGAGACCCGACGGGTTTGTGCATCAGAGAACGATAAATATGCTGGCATGCTGCTGTTTCTCTTTGTTGGAAAGATGATATGCAGCAGATGCTTGCATGGCTGTTTTCGTGATGAAATTGCGCGCGTGCTGGTCTCCACGCTTGCTTGATTGAGGGTGTTGTGTTCGTGTGATTGTATTCCTGTGCTTGTATCGCAGGTATCAGTGTACAAGTGCGAGCCTGGGGGTGCAACCAGCGTCGTGCAATTATTCCTGGATGAAAATGTAGTGTAAGGGGACATAAATTCTTTTTTCCCCTCGCTTATATCTTTTTGGGGGGCAGGGCAGCTCCGATTACTACTATGCAAGTCATGCCGCCCGTGCAAGGCTATTGGGGTGCGAGCATGTTGTAATTGGCTTGGCATGTCATCTGCTGCATGGTATGGCATGGCATGGCATGGCAGGGATATAAGTATTGTGTTGCTATCCGTGTGCTCCATGTGTATCCTCGCCTTGCATTCATGCACCAATGTCACCAGTATGGGGAGTCATACTCCACAGTGTCATGGTACGAAGCACCGCTGCATCACTGCATTATTGTGCGCTTATTTGTGTTTGGCATGCGTGCTGTCTGTGTATGGGTGGCCATGTGTGTCTTGTTGTGCATGTGCACCACGTGCATATACCAGAAGGAGGAGTCTTTCTACACAGTGGCATGGATGAGGGGGCAGCACGGGCGGCCTCTGTTGGCAGCTAGTGGCAGCAGCGGGGTCATTCGGATCATTGACTGCTGGAGGGAGAGGGTTGTTCATGTGAGTGAGGGAGTGAGATTGAGAGGTAGTGAGTGAGGGAGGGAGTGAGACAGCGAGGGAGTGAGTGAGTGAGAGAGTGAGAGAATGAGTGAGTGAGAGGGAGAGGGGGTTGGAAGTGGAGTGAGCTGCAGAGAATGCAATGGCACAAATGAGTGAGTGAGAGTGAGAGTGTGGGCGAGTAAGAGAGGGCAAGTGAAGGAGTAACTGAGCTTGAGTATGTTGATGTGTGCTGTGCTGTGCACGAGCATACAAAGTCTACTTCCGACGCCGGGTTTAGGGTGAAAGCATCAATTCAGACATGCTTGTATCGGCACGTTCGTCATGCACACCCTTCCTTGCACACGTGACACATGTGCTCACCGCCTTCACTGGGGGTTGGGCCCCCCAGTGGCAGAGCCTCATTTCATCTGCCACAGGGAGGCCCAACCCAGCCAGTGAAGGCGGTGAGGTGACGGTGCACTGCATCACATTGCACCCTGCCCTGCTGGGCGGCCAGCCGGCAAGGACGAGCGAGAGTGGCATGAGCTGCCTGCGCTGCAGCATGCGTGGTGGATACCGGCATCCATTCATTCACTCATGCAATCTCTCCCTCTGCGCCTCTCCATGTCCCCCTGCCAGAGTTTCATCCGCCACATGGGGGGTCGGTGAATGAGGTGCGGGTGCATCCGTCCCTTGCACCCCTCTCCCGCCCTTCGTACAGCCATTCCCCCATTCGCCCTCTGCTCCCCTGTCTTCCCATCTGCCAGAGTTTCATTGGCCACGGAGGGTCGGTGAACGAGGTGCGGGTGCACCCCTCGCACCCCGCCCTGCTGCTGTCAGCTGGCAAGGATGAGTCGCTGCGCCTGTGGAACACCGAGACGGGCGTGTGCGTCGCAATCATGAGTGGCACGGACGGGCATCGGAATGAAGTCCTCAGTGCGGTACGGTGGATGATGTGTGATAAGGTACCGTATCATACGGTATAAGTGAGCACCACATTAGCTAGCAACGACAAGCCGCTGTGCCTCTGGAACACCATGGCGGGCATGTGCGTGGCGGGCATGTGCCTATGTTGGAAAAAACGCAGATTTGGTTTTGCGTTTTGCGTTTATACGCGAGTAAAATTCGTACGCTGCGTTTTGGGTGGAGATTCGCCGAAAAACGCACGGGCTGACCGCGGAAAAAAAGTTATCCCGCGACAGGTCGCGACTAGGCGAAAAAAACAGGGGTTTCGCGCATCGCCAATTCAACTGCGCGGAATTGGGGGCTGACGACAAAAGCGGCACATCGCAAACTCGAATTGAGTTTGTGGCTTGAACTTCCAACCCCAAAAGGCTTCCCCACCGCATTCAATCTCTCCATACGTTTCCAACCCAACCAATTGTGGTTTGAACTCCAATCCCAAAAAGCTTCCCTACCGCATTCAATCTCACATCACCTCCCTTTCCCAACCTTTCTGCTTTATGACGATTGACGACTCACCAGAGTCTTGACGCAGAGGAGCAGCACCTAACCCAATTTCGCGTCGTAACTCTCTAGCAAAGCTCCCTCCCTTAGTTCTCGCGCCGTTGTTCTAAGCTCGCCAGGAGAAATGTTGACCCGTTCCTACCACTCCTCCTAGCACGACAAATTTTCCTGCCCGCAATATTTTTTCCCCTGCCCGAACCTCCGTATTTCGTGCGTACCGCATACCCCCTTTCCAAGCGTATTGCGTATAAACGCTTACGTATATACGCTGGCGTACAAAACGCAATACGCGTATTTTCCAACATAGGCATGTGCGTGGCGGGCATGTGCGTGGTGGGCATGTGCGTGGCGGGCATGTGCGTGGCTGTCAAGAGTTGCCAGCAGCCCGGAATGAACGGACGGGGCATTGGAATGAAGTGCTCAGCAGCGCAGTACAGTGAGAGATTTTTTAGAATGCTAAAACATCTCATGTGCTCGGCGGTCAAGAGTGGAACGGACGGGCATTGGAATGAAGTGCTCAGCTGACAGCAGCGCGGTGGTACAGTGGCTAAGGGTTGAGGAAACACTACCACTATGGGCTTTTGCATTGCCATTATGAGTCGCACAGATGGGCACAGAATTAGAGCGCGCATTGCTTAACTGTACAGCTTGCCACACATGTATAGTGTAGTGTTGTTTATGCGGCACGTATTATGCTGTACTAAGTTCTCTCAAAGGTGCTATTATGCTGTACTTCGTTCTCTCAAAGCTGCATGGGTGCATGGGTGCATGGGTGCATGGCTGCAGGACTTTCATCCGGGTGATGAGGCCATAATTGCGAGCTGTGGCATGGACAGCAGCATCCGAGTGTGGAGCCTCAGAGGTGAACTTCCTTTCACTCACTCACTCACTCACTCACTCACTCACTCTTACTCTTTCACAGACGCTCTCTCACTCACTGGCTCACTTACTGACTCTCTCGAACACAGACAGACACCCACACGGATGCCTCCTTCCATGAGGCGGGGTGTTTTTGAGAATTGCAGGGTGTTTTTGAGAATTCTCAAAAACACCCTGCAAAAACACGGATGCCTCCTTCCATGAGGCCGTCATCGCCAGCTGTGGCGTGGACAGCAGCATCTGCGTGTGGAGCCTCGGAGGTGAGATTTCTGATGCCCTCTTGTTGTTATTCGGTCTCTCACTCACACACACACACACACACACACACACACACACACACACACACACACACACACACACACACACACACACACACACAGACATATGAGACCTGCCATTCACCTTCCATTAGGGTCCCTTCCCCTCCCTCTCTTTACCCCTCGCACGCCTTCCCCCCTTGCCCACGTCATCCCCGTCAGAGTGCTGGCATGTGGTGGACCAATCCGGCTCATGGACAGATCTACCGTCCAAGTTCCCCACCAAGCTTCTACAGTACCCCGTGAGCACCTTGGTGTCTCTCAAGGGACTTCTCTCAAAGTGAAAACGCTTAAAGAAAACAATTAGTTGCCTCAAGTTCCTCACCCATTTTCTACAGTACCCTCTGAGTACCATTCGTTAGGCAGCTCATGTTCGGGTCCAATATCCGCACCAAGTCTCGCACCAAGTTTCGCACCAAGTTTCGCACTAAGTTTTGCACAAAGTACCAACAGTACCCTGTGAGAGCCTTCTTCACCCTCGCTCCTGCTATGGCTGCCTTGTAACCTCCCCATCCTACCCAGCTGTACCTGGTGTGTGTGACGTGCACACAGACTACATTGACTGCTTCCCCCCCCCCCCCCTCCCCGGACTTACCCAGCTCAATGTGGTGTGTGACGTGCACTGCACACCAAATATATTGACCTTCTCCTATGCGTTCTTGCTGGCCCCTTACCCCTTCACTGCCCCCATTCCTTCCCACCCAACTCTGTGTGGTGTGGTGTGTGATGTGCACATTAACTACATTGCTTTTTTCCTATCGTTCTTGCTCACTCCTTACCCATATACCCACCTCTCTCCTCCCCCCCCCTCTTCCCCCCTCCCTTTCATCACATCTGTGTACCCAGCTGTATGTGGTGTGTGACGTGCACACCAACTACATTGACTGCCTGCGGTGGTATGGCGACTTCATACTCACTAAGGTGCATTCCTTTTTTGTTATATGCCTTTGCCGAGTACAGTGTTGTTTTTTTTCCCCCGTTCAGGAATCATGGGGCTCGGAATGGCTCACACATCTATCTTATCCAAAGTCCATATAGAGTGGTCAACTGGCTTTCATAGTGGTGCGCGCTTTTATTTATGTATGCGCGGGGTCTGAGGATCTCTTTTATTTATGTGTGGTACTCGATTTCATGCATGATTTTTCTGTTGAATGTGAACGACGGGGTTATCTTATGGCGGTGGTGCCACAACCTCTCACTACTGTCATACTTGTATAACATTGTTCCTCTATCTCTGTTTACTGTAGAGTGTGGACAACGAGGTCATCTTATGGCGGTGGTGCCACAAACCCGCCACTGAACCTGGCTCCACCCACCCTGCTGATGTAAGCATTCGACCCTGTTTATGCGCGCAGTTCTGGGCACTCACAGGGAACTTTCGACATTCTGCAGCGCTACCCGGTGCCCGTTTGTGGGATCCACTTTACCGTGTCTATGTGCTCATATGGTTGTGTGCTCGCATATTTTTGTGCTCACAAGTTCACGCGTTCTCATGCTTATGCATGCACATCTCTGTGTAATCACATAGCACGCTGGACGTTCTGCAGCGCTACCAGGTGCCGGACTGCAATATCGCGTTTATGCATGCTCCTCTGTGCACATGTCTATGCGTTTATGCATGCTCCTCTGTGCACTTGTCTATGCGTTTATGCATGCTCCTCTGTGCACATGTCTATGCGTTTATGCATGCGCATCCTGTACCATCACAGGGCACATTGGACATTCTGCAGCGCTACCCGGTGCCAGAGTGTGGTTTCTGGTTCATCAAGTTTGATCTCGACTTAACGGCCAACATCATGGCGATAGGTATGTCTGCCTTGTTGGTTATTACCATCAGGCCAACATCATGGTGATAGGTATGTCTGCCTTGTTGGTTTATTACCATCAGGCCAACATCATGGCGATAGGTATGTCTGCCTTGTTGGTTATTACCATCAGGCCAACATCATGGCGATAGGTATGTCTGCCTTGTTGGTTTATTACCATCAGGCCAACATCATCATGGCGATAGGTATCTCTGCCTTGTTGGTTTATTACCATCAGGCCAACATCATGGCGATAGGTATGTCTGCCTTGTTGGTTTATTTCCATCAGGCCAACATCATGGCGATAGGTATGTCTGCCTTGTTGGTTATTACCAGCAGGCCAGCATCATCCACTATTCTCCCTTTCCCTGACCAGAAAGGAGGCCCATTCTTGTGTCTAAATCCCTGGGCTTATGGCCGAGGCCATGGCCATAGCTTTTGGTACAGTTGTTGCCATGCATTCGTTCGTTAGGCTGTGTCATGCATTATTGTTCCAACCGTTCATTCCGTATGCCATACCACGCATTCCATCATATGCCATGTCATGCAATATAATTTCATACAGTTGTTTGTATCCATACATGGCATGACAGCCGTGCAGTTCTCAGTAACGCCATGTCATGCATTTTCGTGCCACCCATAACATCACCGCTACCGCAGGCAATTGTGTGGGCAAGGTGTATGTGTACGACCTGCAATCGAGCCCTCCCATTCTACTTAGCACGTGAGCGGGATGGGTATGGGATATGGCATTGGATGGAAAGGAATGTTCTCGCCGCATTTCTTTATTGTTTCATTCGGTTATGTTCATGTAGTGCTGGGCAGTCTGTATGTTGATAAAGTGTATGCTCTTTTCATGCCAATGCTACAACAGGCTCTCACGGAAGGACTGTAAGACGCAAATCAGACAAACAGCAGTGTCACATGATGGCAGGTACTGCTCAAATTTTCTCTTCATCGATTGTTTTCGCGAAGGCCTTCGTATGGACTTGCTAGTGTGTTCTCTACAACGAAATGTGCTCATCCTTGTGTTGATTGCCCGTCAGGATAATAATGAGCTGTGATGACGATGGTTGGTTGTGGCGATGGGATTTGGTCACCACCCATGACTAGAGGTGCTCCGCATTGATTTGATACGCTTCCTGCCGTTCTTATATAAATATGGATATATGCAAAGGCACAATGTATATGCTTGTTAGGTGAATGCAAATTTGCCGTAAGGTACATTGGCTAATTGCAGTGTCTGGCACCTCCATTTTCCATTGAGGCCTGTTACAGGGAGTATTCTGCTGCAGGAGAATGCAAGAACCTCGTCCCTAGGGTGCTCGGCGATTGGCAATTGGTAGTGATGGATGTATCAGCGGGGCCTGAGGATCTGTTCGACATGACAAGTAATCATCGCTGGCTGAATGGGACGTGAGGAACCAGTATCACGCCTCATTTGCTCTACTGAAAACGGTATTGAGGACACGTGCAAGTGGAAACGCGGCATGAAATTCGAATTCAGCCCCTTCCTCCTCCATCATGCTGCCCTCACGGAATGCTTCAGTAGCCTGCTAGTTCCTCAGTGAATTGGTCTGTCTTTTCACTCTCCTGCTTCAATTGCCTGCCATTTTGCGTGACTGATAGTTCGTTCATCAGCCAGAAGCCGTTCTGTCCTCGTCGTTGTGTAAGACAGTGCTCTGCTTGCTCCTCGAGGCGCACAATCTTTAAGAACCCAGCTGAAGCTTATTGTACAGAGGATATTTCCTACAAGAAGTGCAGTGTAATAACATATATCGTACTCAGGCTTATTGTACTCAGGATATTTACTGTACTCGTCCTTACACTGGACCATCTGAGGTCTCGCCTAGTCTGCGTACAGCTTAGCATAGGTGGAAATTTCGTTTTAAATTTGATTGTAGTAGTCGTTTTAATCGTTAAGTAGGGACTCAGAAAGGCCTGAAGAATGGCGGGTACGGCCACGTCATCCATCCTGCAGTTCGCCACGTGGCAGAGCTCCGTCGACGTGTCATTCTGGGAGAAGCTCGCGGCGTTGAAGGTGGACTCGCAGGGACTGAAAGAGGAAGACGTGGCGATTCACGGTAGGCTGGGAGTTTCGTCGCAGCCGTCTGACAGCTGAAGATATAGTTTCACGTGTATCAGGACGGCTTCCGCCGGGTAATAGAATAGTGATGTCCTGCTGAATTGGAATCTTCGTGCTTTTTTTTCCTGCTGAATAGAATGGACAATCTTTTAAAGCCCGAGTCCCAAATTGCGTGCCGCGCAGTTCAAGCTTTAGAAACTTGAAATCCGACGATGTGGTGGCTTTTTTTTCACGAAACAGGGGTTACGCTCATGGCGAAGGCACCTGATTGGCCAGAAACTTGACTGGGGGGTTTGCGTGGGTTAGGCTGCGGGAACTTGAAAGTGGGGCCATTGCAATTTGGGACTTTTGCAACTCTACAAAGCTCCCGCCCCCTGTGGATCGCTGACTCAGCGAAAAAAAAACTCTCGCCTTTTTTTTTCACGAAACCAAACCTCTCGTCACTCCAAACCCACCTATCTAATACTTGTCATGTTTCTAAAGCATGAACAATTTGGGCTGCGGGCTTTAAGGAATCTAAAGTTGAATTTGTAGCAGCGAAGCCTACTCCTCCGGTCACCTTCTCCCCACTTCATTCCTTGCTTCCTTTCTGCTTCCCACCCTTGTTTCCCCGCTGGCAGGTTTCTTCACTCCATCCTCACACTCTCAGCTCCCCTCCTTCCTCTCCCTCTCCTCCGCCTCTTTCCCCCCTTCCCCTCCCCCTCCTCCTCGCTTCCAACTCATTCCTCCCGGTAATACCACGAACACAACTGACGTCACCACCGATGCTGACGTCACCACCGCTGCTGACGTATCCAGCACTGCTGACGTCACCACCACCCCTGGCAGCAGCAGCGTTAGTAACAGCTCTGGTGCAAGCAGCAGCGATATCACCAACAGCAGCAGCAGCAGCAGCAGCAGCACCATTGCCAAGGGCAGTGATAGGAGGAGCGTGGTAACCAGCAGCAGCAGAAATGTGGTTAGCAGCGACGGCAGAAGCGTGGTGGCAGGAGTGCTAAGGATCGCAAACACAGTGGAGTCGTTTCGCGGGTTTGACAGGCGAAAGATGATGGAGGGAGTGTCGCAGCAGGTGAGGGGATGAGAAGGGGTGTGTGGTAACCAGTGTGGCTATTAGTGTGGGTGGTTCCAGCTATGGCAGGAGTGCTGAGTATTGGAAACACAGTGGAGTCAATTCAAGGGTTTGAGGGGCGAAAGATGATGGAGGGAGTGTCGCAGCAGGTGAGGGGATGATGGAAGCGTTGCAGGACAGGTGAGGAGCTAATGAGTGAGAGGGGTGGGGGTTGAGGAGTGAGGGGTGAGGGGTGGGGGGTGAGGAGTGAGGAGTGAGGAGTGAGGGGTGAGGGGTGAGGAGTGAGGAGTGAGGAGTGAGGAGTGAGGAGTGAGGGGTGGGGGGTGAGGGGTGAGGAGTGAGGAGTGAGGAGTGAGGGGTGAGGGGTGAGGGGTGAGGAGTGAGGAGTGAGGAGTGAGGGGTGAGGGGTGAGGGGTGAGGAGTGAATAATGAAGGGAGTGTGTGTGGTAGCCTCGGCATGCAATCTTCTCCCTCCCTCCCACCCTCCCTCCCTCCCTCCCTCCCTCCTTCCCACACCCACCACACCGCACTGGCGGCGTGACCTGCTATCAGGCAAAGCAGAGCACCATCCATGCATCCATCCTCAAAGCATTCTTCCTCCTCTTATACCCCAGCATCAAGCGCTGGCGCTTCTCCCATGAGGTCTTGACTCACCTTATCTGCATGCAACCTCCGCTCTCTCTCTCCCCCGCCCCCTCACCCGCTCCGTCCCCCCATCCCCACTCCCTCCCCCCTTCCCTACTGCCTCTCAGCTCTGGCGTGACATGCTATCAGGGGAGGCAGTTCGCCACCCATCGCTCCTCAACGCCTTCTTCCTCCTCGTCTATCCCGACATCAAGCACTGGCGCTTCCACTACGCCTTCGCCTTCCCTGCTCTCGCCCTGCCCTCACCTGCCACGCTCGCCTCCGCTCCCCTCTCTGCTGGCCAGGCCTTTTCGCCTCAGCTGGTGAGTGTCCATCCTTCCCTTGTGGTGTACTAGTGCACTACACATCCTCCTCCTCCTCGCCTATCCCAAGCACTGGCGCCTCCGCCTTCCCCTCCCCTGCTCTCGCCTCCTGCCACACTCACCTCCCCCGCTGTGTCTTTTAGCTGGTTGCAAACCTGCTCATTTTTCTTGCACATGTCCCCTCATCCTGCACCCCTCATCATCCTGCACCCCTCATCTCTCTCCCCTCCTCTTCCATTGCTCACGTCTCTCCCCTTTGCTGCAGGCAGAGGCAATGGAGAGGGAGTGTGAGCGATGGAGGGAAGCAGCACAGGGTAAGGAAGCAAGAGAGGCGGAATTGGGTGCACCACGGGGCGAGCATGCCCAACGAGGGGAAGAGAATGACCACAGAGAGGAGGAGGCTGTCCGGGAAGGGGTGGCCGAGTTGAGAGAGGGAGAGGAGGAGGGACAACAAGCAGAGCAGAAAAGTAGAAGTGAGGGAGATGAGAAGGGAGAAGCAGGAGCAGATGAGACAGCAGCAGCAGCAGCAGCAGCAGATGTGAGACTTGCGTCTGAAGACATGGAGAGAGGAGCCCCATTCTTCCTCGTCCATACAGACTTTAGTAACCAAGCACACCCTTCAGTAAAAGCACACCCATTATCAGAATACCAGCGACTGGCAAGTGCAGCAGCTTCCCCAACCGCCTCTGCAACGCCCACCTCCTCCTCGTCCTCCTCCTCTCCTCCCTCTCTCATCATCGCCTTCTTCGACCCCTGCCATCTGCCTCTCTCTCCCGGCTGGCCTCTCCGCAATCTGCTCCTCCTGGCGTCCCTACGGTGGCAGGTCAGTCTTCTGTTCCCCCTTCCATGCATCCATCCCTGCGATCCCTTTTCTTCTTCGACCCCTGCCATCTCCCCCTCTCTCGTGGCTGGCCCCTCTGCAATCTGCTCCTCTTGGCATCTCTCCGCTGGCAGGTCAGCTCTCCCGCCCCATCCCCCCCTCCTCCTCTCCCACAAGTTTCTGCGCAATGCGCATCAGTTTCCTACACCTTTGCCTGACTTGAGTAACAAGCAATGCGTTTTTTTAGTCGACTAAAAAATCGTTCCTGTTCCTCCGTCTCTTCCGCTCGTTCTGCCCCTAGCAAAGCCTCCCCCCTGTCCTTCTTGCGCCCTTACCCTTCTTGACCCACGCCTCTCCACGTCCTCTGCCTGCAGCGTTGGCGGCACAGCAGATTCAAAATCACACTCTTTGTGACAATCCCTGAGCCCTGTCTGTCACTCTCCCCCTCCCTCTGTGACCCCTCCTCCCTCCCAGGCTACATCACTTCACGTTCTCTGCCTGCGGCAGCGGCACGGGAGATTTAGCCTGCACCACTCACTGCTTCTGCACGTCCAGATACCACTTCCCCCAGGCACGTCCAGTTACCACCTCCCCCAGGCACGTTTAAATACCACCAGTTGCCGTCCTCCTGTTTTGTGCACTTAACAAAACCTATGCTTTCCTCTTGAAGGGGAAGAGGGGGATAAAATGTAACGACAAAGACGGCTGGCCTACTATCCTTGGAATTAATTTCCCTTTGTTGAACCCCGTCCCTCTTTCCCCTCCCACCCTCTACCTCCGCTCCTCACTCCCTTGACCCAGCTATTTTAATCAACTTCTTCACACCATGTCCGTGATTCTTTGTACACCACAACTTGTTTCCCTCTCGCAGCTGGCTGGCTGGATCCTCTCTCAGCGCCTGCCACGTGTCCATCCGCCACTGGCTGGGAGCTGAACTCCAAGGGAAGGACGGGTGCGCGGTGCGCTGACCTGGCGCCGCTGATGGACCCTGCCAGGCTGGCAGACGAGGCAGCATCACTCAACCTCAAATTGATGAGGTGGCGCGTGCTGCCCCAGCTACAGCTGGAGAGGTTGAATGCAGCCAAGTGCTTGCTGCTGGGTGCTGGCACTCTGGGGTGCCAAGTCGCCCGCTCACTCCTGGTAAGTTCTCTAATACTTGTGGCAGATTCGTTAATGCCAGGAGGTGGCCACAGCTGAGGCTCATGCGCTGCTGGGTGCTGCTGGCTGCTTCTGCGTGCTGCTGGGTGGTGTTGGCTGCTGCTCTGTGTTGCTGCGTCCTGTTGGGTTGGCTGCTGCTCTGTGCTGCTGCGTGCTGCTGGCTGCTGCTCTGTGCTGCTGCGTGCTGTTGGCTGCTGCTCTGTGCTGCTGCGTGCTGCTGGCTGCTGCTGGTAAGTGGCTGCTGGTAAGTGGCTTGGTCACTGATCGCTGCAGCCTGCTGGTAGTAAGTCCGTCTGTGCTGTTCTGTGTCCGTCAACATTCAATCCCTAAGCACCACACTTGTTATCCCACTCCATCCTGCCATCCCTCCACTTACACTGGGCAGGCCTAGGGCGTTCGCGACTTTACACTCATGGACTTACGAAGGGGCGATTTCGTACTCTAACCCTGTCCACCAGCCCGTCTTTCTTTTATTAAAACACCCTCCAGGCATGGGGCATCCGTGACATTACCCTCGTGGACTACGGGGCGGTTTCGTACTCTAACCCCGTGCGGCAGTGCCTCTTTTCCCTCAAGCATTGCCTGAATGGCGGCATGCCAAAGGCGCAGGCAGCAGCAGAAGCACTCAAGGAAATTCTTCCCAGTGCTGTGAGTGTGTGATGTAAGCGTGAGAGGTTGAGCGCTCTCATGCACTGCCCCAGTGGGGGCATGGCATCCCAAAGACGCAGGCAGCAGGAGATGCGCTGATAGACATGCTCGTTACCTAAGTGAGTGTGGATTTTTTGCCATCCCCCCTCCCCCCCCCCCCCCCCCGCCAGTCTTGTTCCACTCCCTTCCCCCCATTCTTATTCTTCTCCCCCCCCCCACACGCCACCCCCCTTCCCTGCTTTTATTTCTTCCCCTCCATTGCACGTCTGGCCATCGCCTTGCCATTCCCATGCCAGGTCACCCCATGCCTCTTGAGTCGGCTCCATCCACTCTTCCTCCCCTTACCTCCAGGCTCCAGTCTTTCATCTCCCCATTCTTGTTCCTTCTCCCCCCCACCCGCCCACCCCTCTCCCTCCCTTTTACCCAATTTTATTCCTCCAGCACACGTCCGGCCATCGCCTCGCCATTCCTATGCCAGGTCATCCCGTGTCGGCCTCAGAATCCCCACGCGTGCAGGCTGACGTGGCAGCCCTGCTGGCGCTCATCCGCCAATCGGACGCCGTCTTTCTCCTCACCGACACGCGGGAGAGCCGGTGGCTTCCTACTTTGCTCTGTGCAGCTGAAGGAAAGGTGTGTGTGGGGAAGGGGTTGATGGTTTACGGTACATCAAGGTAAGCTAAGAATAGGTTCGCTGGGTATGAAGAAGGTGGGTGCACTGCTGCCTTTTTCCTCACTGGCCGGTGGGATGCGCATAGGGGCACTGGGTAAGGGGAGGAGAGGAGTGGCAGCTGAGGTGCCCCAGTGCGCATGGCACGGAACAGGTTCCGGAATAGGCAGCTGAAATCCGGCGGCTTCCCACTTGCAATGTGTGGCAGAGGGAAAGGTGAGACTAACAGGAATGCGACCTTCAAAATAGGGATGATTTGTGTAACCTTCTACCCAGCTTTGAACCAAAAAGCCCGATTTTGAATCTTACAAGGCATCTTTTACTGCCTTCCATGCGTGATACATCCGTGTTAAAGGCATTCGGCACGTGTCATTTTGTTGCCAGTCCTTGTAACAAAATGAGATTAGTGCGCACGGCACGGAAAAGTGCATCCGTAACAAAATGAGATCGCCTCGGCTGCCTGTTCGTGCCCATGTCATTTTGTTGCCAGTTCTTGTATCTCATCCTATGCCACCACTATGCAGATCGCCATCAACGCTGCGCTCGGCTTCGACTCGTTCCTCGTCATGCGCCATGGGGCGCCGCCCGTGCCTCTGGACAACACATTAGCAACGGCAGCACCTGACTCAGCACCAGCAGAGTCTGTGTCAGCACCAGCAGAATCTGCATCAGAATCAGGAGGTCTTGGGTCATCTTCATCAGCTAATGCTGCATCCCATGCGTCTGAAGCCGAACCAGCACCAGCAGCAGAAGCAGTGTCAGCAGTCCGGGCATCGGCATATGAACCGTCAAACGCGCCACCATCTGCCTCAGCACCTATACCGGCATCCCGACCTGCATCTGCACCTGCGTCTCCGTCGCCCAAACGGCTCGGGTGCTACTTCTGCAACGATGTGGTTGCTCCGCTCAACGTAAGTCCTTCGATTTTAAAAATTCACCACTTCGCCACCCACAGCACTTCGGATCAGCAATGCATCGTCACTCGCCCCGGACTGGCAGTCATAGCGGGGGCACTTGATGCCTGCACTGCCACTCGCCCTAAACCCCTGCACCTGGTGTCCTTCCCCTCCCTTCCCCTCCCTCAACACAACAGTCCTCCACCGTTCTCTAGATCAGCAGTGCACCGCCACTCGCCCTGGACTAGCAGCCATAGGGGGGGCTCTGGTCATAGAGCCAGGTGTTGTTGCCTACGCCCTCCTCCCACTCGTTTCCTTTGGTTCTGTTGTTTCCCTTGTCCTCTCCCCCACAGTCCACCACCCATCGCACCTTGGATCAGCAGTGCACCGTCACTCGCCCTGGACTGGCAACCATAGCCGGGGCTCTGGCAGTAGAGCTGCTGGTGGGGCTGCTGCACCATCCCCTGGGGTAAGGGTTCAGGGTTCTGTTCCCCAGGGCTTAGGACTAATGGGTCTTGGGCGCATGTAGCTCGCCCTGGGCTGGCAGCGATAGGGGGGGCTCTGGCCATGGAGCTGCTGGTGGGGCTGCTGCACCATCCTCTGGGGTAAGTCGTCGTACTGGGTGGGTGTTAAGGGGTTTGGTAGTTAAGGAGCAGACTACTGGACTGGCAGCCATAGCAGGGGCTCTGGCGGTTGAGCTGCTGGTGGGGCTGCTGCACCATCCCCTGGGGTGAGTTGTGCAAGGGTACTGTTTGTTCAGAGTTCGACTGAAAGGGACTACGTTAGGGTTAATGCTGAGGGTTCCTTCCTGGATGCAGGAGTTAGGTGTTAAGTTTGAGGTTATGACTTAGACGTTTGCATTGTAGAGCTGGACGCTGTGCTCATCGTTCCTTTCCATGTCTTCATCTTCTTTCCTTACCCTTTTCCTGTTACGACTCTCCTCCCTCCCCCTCTCCCCCCTCTTCTCCCTCCCTCTCCACCCCCCACCCCCCCCCCCCCCCCCCCCCCGCGCAGCATCGCAGCACCAGCAGAAGACACCACCACTGACAATTTCCATTCTGCCTCCTCCCCCTCCTCCTCCCATGTCTCCTCTCCTCTCGGCCCGCTGCCCCATCAACTGCGTGGCTTTCTCTCCTCCTTCTCCCAGCTGCCCATTACCGGCTTCGCCTTCCACCAGTGCACCGCCTGCTCCCCTACAGTGAGGAAGCTCGTCATATACATATATTCATATATCTATGTATATATGTTTATATGTATGCATTCGTATGCTTCCCTCGCCATCAGCACGGCTTCCTTTCCTCCTTGGTCCCAGCTCCCCACCACTGCTCATTATAGGAATGATGCGACAATTTTCTCATTTGTTCCCGACTGCATGTTTGTTGCTTTCCCATCCTCGATTGAGTTAATATCAGGGTGCAGGATCCCCATTTTCACTTTCCTCTTCCACTTGGAGTCTTAGACCCTGCGTTTGTCACATCCCTGATTGCGCCTCTTTCCCCCTTCTCTTCTGTTACTCTCATCTGCCCCTTTTCTCGCTGCAGGTGGTTTCAGCTTATAGGGAGCGTGGTTTTGCGTTTCTTATGGATGCTTTTAACGAACCCAAGTACTTAGAGGAGATTACAGGATTGGATAAACTGCACGCGGCTACTGTGGAGATAGAAGTCGACTGGGATGATAGTGAGGATGACAGTTTCAAGGATCTTGAAAGCGTATGAGATAAAGGGCTTGGATAAGTTGCACGCAACTATTGAGATAGAAGGCCAATGGGATTATAGTGAGGATGACAGTATTGAGGGTCATGGTTAGTCTCACACACCAATTTCCTGCGATCGCCAGTATCATTAATATTCTACTCGGTCACTACTTCGCATATTTTGTCAATTATTTTGCGATGGTCTTTCCCCCTGTTTCCATTACATATAAGATTTAGGTGAACATACCTAACAATTGCCATAACAGAGCAGTGTTTCTAGCGGCAGTTAAATAACTCAGCAACAAAAATGCAGTTGGCTTGGAGGCCCCGCATTAGGCTCAAATGGATCACACAATCGGCTCTGCACACGGCGCCGCGAATTTAGACGGCTACAGCTTTGTTGGTTAGGCTACAGTCGCCCAAAACCTTACACAACAGTTCTGATATTCAGAACAACCTTTCTGAACCGCGAAGCGCTTGTCTGAACCCATTCGCTCATCAGTTCGTGCACATCACCCCCCACTGCAAATTCGCTACACCAAAATGGGAATCTGCGAGGGCGTCACTAGTCAGCGGGCGGCAATTATGGCGGCGCCATTTCTCTTCAACTTCAGCTGCTCAGACCAAACTGCATCATTCTTTCGATGCGGTTGCTTCCTTCACTCCCTTCGCAAGGCTTCTAAGTGTCCGAAGTCGCATCATGTGGCGAGTCAAACGGGTGGCGGCAAAAATATACTACATTGGCGAGACTAGGAAGTACGGGCCGAGTTTTCCCTCTGCAACGAAACTATCCTCACGTCGCCTCCATTGGCGTCGCATTTCCCTACTAGACGGCCGATCGGCATTTTATTCAATACCACAAGTAGTTGCGTTGCTCGCGCTAACATCTGGGTCAGCGCTATCGAGAAAAGCCGCAGCCACGTCTCCGCGTGTGACTGTAACGGTGCTTCACAACAACCGATACAACGCCAAGTGCCTCGATGGAAGGTACGTGAGCTAGTGTGATAGCCCTCATACCCTGATCAAGTCTCAACTTTCCCCGCGCGAACTCTCCTCCAGTCACTTTCCGAAAGGGATTCCCCATTCCCATCTGCGTCTTCCTTTTCTCCGTCCGTCTTCTCCTTCTCTTGCCACTGAAATTGGTTGCACGTCGCACCTCTCCCCTTCGGGGCTACGGCATCTCATTGTGGCACATCCAAATGCCCCTTCCCCTCCCTGGTGCGGCCCAACTCTCCCCTACCAACCCCCCATTCCTCCCCCCAGCCCCCCCGGGTACTATCTCCGCCCTGGTTTCGGCATTGGCATCTCATCGTGGCGCATCCACCTGCCCCTCCCTGATGTCAGGCTGGTCTATTCTATTCACGAATTCTCCCCCTACCTGAACCCCCTCCCCAGTCCCCCCGGATACTACTACTTCCGCCCGGGCTTCGGCCAAGGCCTGTCGTCGTGGCACATCCACCTGCCGCCCGGCGGCTGGTGCTCCACCCTCGAGACGTGTGCCGACCGCAGTGCCACGTTCCTGGGATCTAGCAGGGATGATCTGCAAAGCAGTGTGAGTGTGCTGTGCTTTCAAGTAAGCAGTGTGAGTGTGCTGTGCTTTCAAGTAAGCAGTGTGAGTGTGCTGTGCTTTCAAGTAAGCAGTGTGAGTGTGCTGTGCTTTCAAGTAAGCAGTGTGAGTGTGCTGTGCTTTCAAGTAAGCAGTGTGAGTGTGCTGTGCTTTCAAGTAAGCAGTGTGAGTGTGCTGTGCTTTCAAGTAAGCAGTGTGAGTGTGCTGTGCTTTCAAGTAAGCAGTGTGAGTGTGCTGTGCTTTCAAGTAAGCATTGTGAGGGTGCTGTGCTTTCAAGTAAGCAGTGTGAGTGTGCTGTGCTTTCAAGTAAGCAGTGTGAGTGTGCTGTGTTTTCAAGTAAGCAATGCGAGTGTGTTGTGTTTTGAGGTACAGCAATGCGAGTGGTCTGTGTTTTTAAATACAGCACTGCGAGTATGCCGTGGTTTCAAGTAATCGATGTGAGCGTGCTGTGTTTTCAAGTACAGAAATGCGAGAGTGCTGTATTTTCAAGTAATCAATGTGTGTGTGTGTGTGTGTGTGTGTGTGTGTGTGTGTGTGTGTGTGTGTGTGTGTGTGTTTGTGTGTGTGTGTGTGTGTGTGTGTGTGTGTGTGTAGTAGATTGCAAGTGCAGCAATGTGAGTGTGTGCAGCAAAATGAGGGTCGGGGGACGCAACCTGGTCGGGGGGCTTCTAAGCTCATCTCCTCTCCTCCCCTAATCTCCCCTACCAGGCGTCTCATAGGTTCTTCTTGCTCCCTTCCCCTCTTTTTCCCCCTTTCCTTTCTCCCGTTCCCCCCTTTCCCCCCTTTCCTTTCCCCCGTTCCCCCTTTTCCCCCCTTTCCTTTCCCCCGTTCCCCCCTTTTCCCCCCTTTCCTTTCCCCCGCTCCCCTCTTTTCCCCCGTTTCCTACCAGGCGTCTCACGGCTACATGGGAATCTTGAGCACCGGCCCTCTGGTCAACCATGCCTTCCGCAACTGGAACCTCGTTGTACCGATGTACTGCGACGGGGGGGTCTTTTCCGGCACGGCTGGTTGGACCAGAGTGAACGACAGCTACGGGGTGTACATGGACGGGTGGAATGCGCTCAAGGCCGTGCTGCACCATGTGAAGGATGCTCGAGGGCTGCAGTCCGCTTCAAGGGTGCTGCTGTCAGGTGTGGGGGGGTCTGTCAAAACCAGGTAAGCACAGCAGGGACTATAGGCGCCGAGCCGAATGCAAATCAGACAAAGTCCATACGGGTCAACTTGGGTCAAATGCCTTCTCATATGTTGCTCCCAGAGCAGTCAGCAGGAGTGCAGGCGGTGGTGATGCTGTGCGATCACATCACCGACAATAGGCGCTGAATGTAAATCAGGCACAGTCAATACGAGTCAACGTACGTCACGTCACATGCCTTCCCATATGTTGCTCCCAGGGCAGTCAGCGGGAGCGCTGGCGGTGATGATGCTGTGCGGTCGCATCAAGGAATATGCCCCAAACGCACGGCCGATCAAGTGCCTCATGGACTCGGGCATGTTCACAGGTGCGTTGAGGGAGGGGGTGATGGGGGGATGGCGGGGATTGGTGATGGATAGGGGGGAGCTGGGGGCGGGGTGGGGGTGGGGGGGGAGAGGGGGGGGGGGGGAGGGGAGGTCGGGGGGTAGTCGGGGATGTGCGGAATGCAAGGCTGATCAAGCGCCTCATGGACTCTGGCATGTTCACAGGTGGGTTGCTTGCTGGTACTGGGGGGCGTCGGATGGGCTATGGGGGACACTGGCGCGTTCACAGGACACCTTGAGGCCATGAATGACGCAGTCAGCCATCCGATCCGAGCCATGGCAAATGACCTTGTCTCTCTCTTCACAAGTCTACCTGCAAGATTCCTGCACATGTTTGTTGCTCTCCTTGCCTCTACTTTTGAGGTGCCTCAAATGTAGACTCTTCACAAGTCTCCCTGCGAAATCCCTGGACAAGTTTATTGCTCTTCTTGCCGCTATGTGCTGCCTGTCCCCGTGTCTCCATCTCTGTCTCCCCTCCCCTCCCCCCCCTCCATCACTGCAGACTCCAAAGATCGTGAGGGACAGCTGTCGTTCCGAGCCATGGCGTCTAAAATTGTTTCCCTGCATAAGTTTGTCAGCAACAGCCCATGCGCTCGGGGTGAGGCCCAACATTTTACCCATATTTCGGAGTGATCAATGGTTTGGTTATTCTGCATGTGTTTGTCGCGGTGACCATTGGTTTGGTTTTACTGCTCGTTGTCGTTGGCAATGGCAAATGCTCCCAGGTTAAGAGGCCGGCTTTGGCTACATCTCAAAGCAAAAGCTCTCCGGATAAGATTGGACGGTGTATGAACTGGAGGCTGTTCCCCATGGTGGCCTCATGAAATGTTGTGTATGAACTGGAGGCTTTATTCAGGCAATGTCCGTTGGTTCTCAAACGACAGAAAGCTTCCAGCGCGGCCTACCACTGCTGATATGCTCCTTTCCTCTGTAGCTTTTTCTCTTTTCTCTCTGCCCCACCCCTCCCCCATCCCCCCCTCCCCTCTGCTCCGTCCTCTTCTCTCCCCCCCACCTCTCCAGCCCACCCTCCCGACCAGCAGTGGCGGTGTTTCTTCCCACAATACGCCTTCCCCTTCCTTCCTCGCTCCACCCCTTTCTTTGTAGTCAACTATCTCTTTGACAGCCGTGCTCTAATTCTTGGCAACCAGCTTCCTTTCACCAACCGAACCTACTCGTTCCGGTGCATCGACGAACTGCTCCGGCTCCTCCCGAACCTCACTGCCCAAACCTTGATCTCCAGCACACGGCACCAACTGGAAAATTATTTATCGGGGAAACGAACAAGTAACGAGTGTACTAGCATGGAGCAATTGGCAGTGCTACTGGCGGGACACAATATGGGAAAGTATGCACAGAGGGTGCAAAAGAGGGGAAAGAGTAGCAAGTCATTTTTGGTGGTGTGCATGGTGTGGTTGCATCTCGACACTGGGGTCAGATAAAATTAGGTGGGGTTACTTTGCCTAATGCCGTTACCAAGTGGTATTTTCTCAGGTGAATATTTACTGCATACGTAGTAGATGTCAACTTATACATGTGCTGTATGTAGAAGTTATAGGCTAGCCTAGGTGTGTGCTTCTAGTGAGTACAACCCCAACAGGTACATGTTCTAGGTTTCTCACACTAGTCCATCATTCTCTCTTTCTAACATGGTATCATATGAGTAGGTTAGGTTCCTCTCGCCCGCCCACGCTTCCGCCCTAGGCCCTAGCCGCCCTCGTGACCCGTCCCTAGCTGCCCCCCCCCCCCTCCCCCCTAGTTGCTCCCTGGCCGTCGCGTCCGCCCCTAGCCGGCCCCCTGGCCGTCGCGTCCGCCCCTAGCCGGCCCCCTGGCCGTCACGCCCGCCCCTAGCTGGCCCCCTGGCCGTCGCGTCCGCCCCTAGCCGGCCCCCTGGCCGTCGCGCCCGCCCCTAGCTGGACCCCTGGCCGTCGCGTCCGCCTCTAGCCGGCCCCCTGGCCGTCGCGTCCGCCCCTAGCCGCCCCCCTGGCCGTCGCGTCCGCCCCTAGCCGGCCCCCTGGCCATCGCGTCCGCCCCTTTCTGCCCCCCTGGCTGTCGCGCCCGCCCCTAGCCGGCCCCCTGGCCGTCG